TTTATTAGAAAATTGGAGTTATATACTTATTTGTGGCTGTTAGAGGAAAACCGTTGAACAATACTTCATCGAAATTAGTAAAGCTTTTATTGTATCCCGTGCTAAATTTGCGAGATGAAACGATAAGCTCGTAATCTTGTTGCGAGTCGAAGTAAAGCGGTCGAGCTCGCACGGTTGCTCGTGGAAGAGGAAAAAGAAGGAGAAGAAAGAGAGAGAGAGAGAGAAAAAAAACAAGTAAAAGAAAAGGGGACGAGAAGAGAAGAGGGAAGGTAAAAGGTTGGTGATTCTCTGAAGGATTACGCCAGTGGTCGATGGTATCGGCGGATTTGTGAGTGAGTGAAGCTCTTTGGTGGGGTAGAGCCCCCGATGGTAGTGTAGTGATGCCTCGCATCGTTTCGCCTCGCTTCGTCTTGCCTCGACCCCTCCATCAGTTCACTACAGCTCGGCTACGGCTATAGCACGTCGCCGGGTCTACTCTTCCCCTCTTGTTGCGACCCCTAACTTCGACTCACCTCGGTAAACGGCAACCGTGTATATAGGTATGCAAAGATATAGCTATTAACCCCTCGTTTAATACGAAAATCAACACTGTGTTACATTATGTATCAGAAGCACATTGAACAGAGCTGTGTTCAACAAAATCCTGTTACACGAAGCCCGCCAAGGTATGATAGAAAAGTTGAGATTGAGTCGTTTCGAACAAAGTATTAATATATATATATATATACGTATGTATATATATAAGCACGGAACGATTCTGAGAGTTAAGAACGATTTTATCAAAACCGCATTCCGATGAATGCCTGTATTAAGTGGCATTAATTTCTGTTGTCAATCGACGCTGTTCGAAGCGCGTAACAACTCGTGTTACTCACGCAATCGAATCATTTAACGTTGTAAATTTTCTTCCCAGGCATTGCTTGTACTGTCCACGGCAGGATGGAACAATGGAAACATTTGTCGAATTTATGCGGTTACAAGGAAAACCGGTTTTTTTCGAGTACCTACCCAGTTTCGCGTTTTAAAGTCGTTACCCTTCCATAGAGAATCCTGCTTTTCATATATGTGTGTCTAGTAGAGAATGTGTCTACCCTTTCGGTACACACGATATGGAAGTCATGCGCATCGTGTTGAAACGCGAAAACCGCATGCCCCCCATTACACACATCTTCTCCTCTCTGCTCTTTTCGCCTCCTTCCACGTTGCGGCGTGCATGTAAGTACATACCTACGTAGGTACGTACATTCTCACGACGACGACCGATACATAGGATTACTTTGCGGCACGGAAAATAACGTGAAAGAGAATACGTACTTTGAATACGGCTTATTCGCGAAACGAATATTGAACGGTGCCGCATTAGGACCATTATACAGGTTTTAATTAGCTTTTGCTAATTAAACTAATTACCAGGCCAATTAGCAGATCGTCCGTTCTTTTTTTTTTTGTTCGCTTTCCGTAGAGTAGGTTTTCCGAAACGAATAAAGAACAACGTTGATAAATACGTATTTGTACGTTTTCGTTCGGAATACACGTTTGAAATTTATGATCGCGCGATGAGCAAGATTAATGGACGTAAGAATATGTAAATAAAACCGAACCGGCGCGTTACGTAAGAGGCGGCTGGGTAATCGTCTAAAATGCGATTGATTCATTTTTTGATGATGTACATGCAGCGATAACGGTTCGTCATCTCCTTTTGTTCCCCCCTCATCGCAGTTACACACTATTTAGCGTTTCTTGTAGCCACAGTGTCGCAAAACTGGTTTATTACGTAAACGTGATCTCAAAGTTCCTTTCTAACCGATTACAAGATGCCACTCATGGATATTTGTCTTGTTTATCGTACACTTAAGGCTACCGCTGGTTCTACGATCGTTGACTCTCTTCTCTTCGCTCCTCGGAGAAGACCGTCAGAGTAGCGCGCATTAAACAGTTGCACAAACAGATCAAAATTGATCCTCGTCGTTGGGAGGGTGCAACTACGATTACATACCTTCCTCCGGGACTTTCGCGCTCCTCCTATTTTGTCAGCTCGCATTTTTTTTTTTTTTTAATTACTTTCCGACAAAAAGTAAAACCTTGTATCGTCGATAGCGTGCAAAGTATTATTGAACTTTTTTTTGTATCGGAGTCACTAAATCAATCAACGTGGCCATAAAAATAGACAGAGTGGCAGGGAAATGAAAACACGAATATATGAATAAAAATAGAACGGAGCGAGGGTGATAAAAACAGACGGTAGTAAAATAAGAGCGCGGACAAGAGGCTAGACAATCGTAACAGTGAAAATTCACGATTAAACGTAAAGCCCGCGATAAATAATAGAGCGGGAACGGCGCAGTAGAATGCATTACGAAGAGAGCCGGTTTAAACGGTTGTTCGATCGAGCATAATTGATATATACAGTTGAAGATTTAATGACAGCAATAATTCGTAACAAATGACGGGAATAGTGGTATTATTTCTACATAATAACTGCCGCGGCGTTGGCGGCTATGTATATGGATAGAGAATAAAGGATAGGAGGAGCAAGAAAGAGCGTGATCGGAGGTGGGGGTAACGATCAATTCAGTGAGAGGCAGACGGTCAAAGTCGATGCAGCCGGGGTATACCTCGCCGATGATCGTTCGATTGAAAAGGTTGTTGGCGTTGCCGGGCGTAGGGAAAAATCGAATGGAAGTGTTGAACTGATTCGGACCTATATAAAAAGTAGTTAAAAATACAGTGGCCAGAGGGAATAGCGATTTCTGGGCAACATCGAGTTTGATTGATTTCAATATTTCCTCCCTAAATATTAAACCGAATTGTGCATTTGAGCAACGGATTAAACGTATCCCTTTTCCTAGGATCCGCCGATTTTCGATGGTTGTCAGTAATACGTATTTGCCATGCGTGAAAAAGAATTACAGAGTTAGAGCTAATCGATCCGTGGTTAGTCGAACAGTACGCGAACAGGCAATTTAGGTGGTTCCTGTAACGAGACATAATTGGTAATTCCAATTTGCCGTTGAAGCAACGCGCACGATCCCTGTTGTATTTGCCCGATGGATAACGCAAACCGTTATCGAAAATCACCTAGCGTAGCGTTATCATGACGAATAGTCTGCGTATCGTAGCCTGTTGAGATTGTTGAAATCGAGTCGTGCTCGTTTCTCTTTTTTTTATCGTTGTCATTGTACGTGGCCGACACGACCGATTCAAATCGTAGTGATTATTGAATCGTTAAATACTAATCAAAACGAGTCCTTGAAATTAGTAAGTACATACGACGTTTGAGAGATAGAACATTGTATAAATTGACCGAAGACTGTTAATCAGATTATACAATGCGTTTGGTTATTTGCTCGTGGTTAAATATTTGACTTAAACAACGTCAGATAAAAACATACAGGCTTTAGTGTCGGTAAGTTTAAACTACCGACTTGTCGAGATCTAAAAATGTTTCGTTTTCTTCGCAACGGTCCGACGATTTAACATTGTTGATTTTAGACGGTACCGTTGTGTTTTCCCTTCTGTCAGTCTCTTTAAATACGTAAAAATGCGCGGTTCGGAGTTGGCGCGAATTCAATCGAGCGCGTTCAGCCAGTTACGAACGTGGGACGCGCGAATCGAACGTGTTTTTTTCACGTTCGAAGAAATTGGAATGTCGGTTAATAACGTCGACTATTCTACGAGTGATCACCGTTGAAACGGAGAAAGTACCGCGCATTGAGCGCAGCGCGAAACAACGGGTTGGTACATCGTCTCCGACGTTGATTGGATCACCGGCAAATGTCGCCGGGTAAATTAATCGTTCCCTGGCACGAATTCCTCGGCGAAGTGAGGATATCAATTTGTATACGAGCCATATTTTATCCGGAACGCGACAGTGTCGGCAACGTTTTAACCACGGAATCGACTATTTCAGTTCTCGACTATTCCTCACCCAACTAATTACACTTAAATCTGCCGGAACGATTTGATTCATAGGCAACAATTTTTCCGAGCGAGTCGTCTAATTTCATCGCACTAGTTTCTAGAAAAATACTAAACGGTTAATGGGGTTCAGTAAAGACAATGAGAAATAATACTGGGATTACACTGGTGTGAGTACCAAATTAATGTTATTACCCATCGCCATTAAACTCTCCTGCTCCCATTCCTTGTCTCCAATCTTTTTCGATGAACGCCAGTTTCGTTACCTTGTTTCCTAACGGTTTTTCGCGGTACGTCGACCGTCTGTTGGCGATCCTCCAAATGCTTGTACGAAAGCCGCGTCGCAAGCGAGCTAAGTGTGACGAAACCAACAAAGAAACAATTTACGCATCGTCGTATCGTGGAAGTCGCATTTCAAACGGAACGTGTTTGCTTTTTTGTTACAGGTCGAAAGCTTGGCAAACGATGGTAGCACGCCGCGAGTTGTCATAGCAGCGAGTTCGAAAAGCAAATCGCGTCCCGATTTGTCGCTTTATAAAAGGACCAAAGGGAGATCCGTCGGGAGCGCCTAAGGAAGAGATACACGGGGAAACAAAAAGGGCATTATTCGATGCGAGATGCGAGAGCGAGGCGAATCGAGGATAGTCGCGTGCAACAGATTTCGGTAAAGGACGGCGACAACGAGGAAAGACGAAGCGCGAAACTTTTATAAAGAGGAACGGTCGAAATCGTTAGAATTCGTTGACAGAGTGAAAGAGTTGGGGAAGAAGGGGGAGGAAGAAAGATAGGAAGAAGAAAGCGTGGAAAGGGGAGGCAGATGTATCAAAGATAAGAGAATGCAGCGCGGCGAGTAGAAAGCTTGAGAGAAGAAGAAGAAGAAGAGGGACCGCGTATACTGGTGGCCCGGGTGAAGGAGAACGGCAACGAAGACAAGGCGTCGTGGTGGCTGGTGAACGAGTTGCGTCCGCGTTAAGGGGAAGAAAGGGAATAAGAGGGGTGATCGCGGAGAAAGGGTGGACATATCCCGGGGTCATCGCGAATATCAGTGTGGAGGGTAGCCGCGAGACGATAAGTGATGTGTTCGATGGACGTGGCGCGTCTCGCGGGCGGTGGTCGGGGTAAAACGGACGACGCGTGTCGCGCGCGGTGGAATTGCGTGGAATCGGTGAGAACAGGCGGGCAGTCGGTGATCAGGCTGGCGGGCGCCGGGGAAACGTTTCAAAGGGCATGGCGACCACGCCACTAGGCGGTCGCCTCCCTAACGTAAACCGCAAAGGACCATCTCCGTTCGTCGGTGGTGGTGGTGGCAATCACGGTAACAACGGGAACAGTAACAGCGGCGGTGGAAACGTAATAGGCAACGGTAACAACGACGGCGGAAGCAACGGTAGCGGACACCCCGTAAAGAACAGTCATCACGGTAACAACAACAACAACAATAACAACAACAGTAACAAGAACAGCAACCACCTCGGTCGTCGTAGTAGCGACAGTGGCAACAGTGACGCGGAGAACCACCAGAAAACCGGTGGCGCGATCGAGTGCGGTAAGAACAACACCGGCGTTGGTGGTAGCGACCACGGGAACAACCACGGGAACCACAACGGTGGTAACGGGACTGGTAGCAGCGGGAGCACGGCCGGCGGTGGAAAACACAACGGTGGACAAATCGTCGGTGGTATCGTCGGCGGAGGAGGAGGAGGAGGAGGCGGTGGTGGTAGTAGTAGTAGTAGTAGTCACTCGTCAAAGAAGCAGGAACGCGGGCTAACGGGAAAGGAGCACCGTGATCATCGGCATCATCACCATCACCACCACCATCATCATCACCATCACCATTCACACCAGCACCGCGATCAGGGTCGTGAGAGATCGTCGCCGCCGTCGTCGTCGTCGTCGTCGTCGGGACAACAGCGCGAGCCTAAAGCAAGCACGGTGGCTGCAAACACCGATGAACTGGACCCGGCCGCGACTAATGCGACCAACAACTTCGAGTACGACGACAACGAATGGGACATCGGAATAGGGGATTTGATAATCGACCTTGATGCGGACATTGAGAAGACGAGGGACGAGAAATTGAGCTCAGGGACAGGCATGGCTTCTACGCCTGCCTCGGCAGCATCGGCATCGAATAACACGAATCATCATCACCATCATCATCACCACCAGCTGCAGAATTCCGCGAACGGTTTGAACTCGGCGAACTTGGCCGTAGCCACGACAAGCCCGAACGGTTGCAGCCAGTCGTCCTCCTCGTCGTCGTCCTCCTCGTCATCGTCTTCTTCTTCTTCTTCTGTCTCTTCTTCCTCGTGCTCGTCCTCGTCGACATTGTCGTCATCCGGCTTGTCCTCCGCCTCGTCTTCTTGCGGATTGAACTCGTCCGGACGGTCGAACAGTCCTGGTAACGGCAACGGGAGTGTGGGCAACACCGGTAGCAACGGTAGCACCGGAAACGCGAACGGTTCCTCGTCGATCGTTACGGGAACCTCTAATAAACAAAGTAACGCCGTGGTGAGTAGCGTGAACGCCGCGCACGGTAATCCCGGCAATCCCGGCAAAATGGCCGTTGAACACTCGGCCACCGTCGACAAAGGCCTGAAAATGAAGATTAAGCGTACGAAGCCTGGCACCAAGAGCAGCGAGGCAAAACACGAGATCGTCAAGTCGAACGAAATCAACGGAACCATATCGTCGCAGGAGACCGGAAACGGTGGTAGTGGTTCGGTGACTTCGGGCGGCTCGTCCGGCGCCTCGGGTAGCTCCGGTTCCTCTTCGTCGATCGGCTCGACCGGAGTCAGTCAGAACGCTCAAAATTCGGACTGCAACACTACCGGAACCGGTGGGACCGGTGCCGGCGCCAGTGGAGGTGTCGGTGGCAGTGGTGGTGGTGGTGGCAGCGGCGGAAATGGTGCGGGCGGTGGCAACGGCGGCGGCGTCGGTAGCGGCGGTGCCGTCGGTTGCGGCGTCGGCGGAACTGGTGGCGTCGCCGGTTCCGGTGCCGGCGGCGGTGGTGCCGGTGGTGGTGTTGGAAGTGGTGTTGGTGGTCAATCGTCGTCTTCGAGCAAATCGAAACCGAGCCACTCGACCGGTTCGACCGGCGGTACCGGGAGCACGACCTCCTCGACCGCCGGTTCGAAGAGGGGCTCGAGTGGGCATCGCAGGGATAAAACAAGGGACAAGCATGAGAAGCCGCAGAGTAACCACGCGGTTAATCAGCAAAGTAAATCGGAGATGAACGGCACCGGGAGGCCCAGCAGCGGAAACAGTATGGGGTCCAGTGGGAGCAGTGGCGGTGGTAGCAATAGTGGCGGTCAAAGTCAAACTTCTAGCGGACCGGGACCGGGACCTGGACCGGGTATAGGGGTTGGGGTTGGGTCTGGAGCCGGGGCCGGAGCGGCCACGCAATCTCAAGGTCCGCCGGCTGCGGCGACGGCCCCTCAACAGAATCAGGGACCGCCGCCTAGTTCGCGGACTGGGTTCTCGGTATCCCAGGGACCTGGTCCACCGTCTAGCTCGGCTACAGCCCCGTGTCCACCCCCGAGTCCGGCTAGCGCGACTGCTGCCGGACCGGCCGCCAAACCCGAGCAAACCAAACTAGCATCGGTGACTGGTATCGGTGCACCGATCACCGCAACGGCCGACGATTCCATGGACTCCGCGGCCAGTCCTCCGCCTGCCAAGAAAATGAAGACTTCCTCCTCCGAACCAAAGGTAATATAGAAAGGCGATAATTATCAGTTGTTATCATTTCATTCTTAACTAGACATACCTTTTTCTCTCTCAAACTCGTATCCCTCGAATTTGCGCTTATCTTCCAATGTACTCTAAGATTTTTATCTCAACTCGAGTTTAACACTGAACCTTCTTAATGCACCGATCAAACGACCGTCTTGACGCAAATCGAAACGGAAAGAAACAAAAAGAAGAGTAAATTTGTTTTGTCATCTTGATGAAGTTGTAATTGTTATTTAAGTTGGTATCAAACTCAAATAGCAATGCTAAGATTAAATTCTGCTCAAATGTAACAAATATAAATACAACAGATTTGTGTAAGACAAAAATTGTCTATACGTTTAGTGTTAAATCGAGAAGTATAGTTCACAAACTATATTTCTGAGCCCGGGCAAACGTATGGCTACGGTCGTCCATCGGAAAGTAATGCTACTAGAATTTAGTAGACAGAATTGGATTCTGTTTGGTCGACTACAATATGCGCGCGTTTACATTAGCGAAGCCAAGATCAACGAACGCCTTAGTGTACCTGTGCTATTTCTCGGTCGATCGGACGTTCTTGATTCGCGCTCGAAATATTGAGAACGTTATGTCGCTCAGAGGCTTCCGACTGGATTACGATATCGCGGTGGTCAATGTCGTCGGGTTGTCGAGCCATCATCGGCACCGACACCGGCGACCGGTTGTTCCATGCGAATCGAGATAGCCGGTGAGTGCTAGGAGGGTCAGAGGGGGGTCGCGAATTCGAGCCTCGACTCGAGACTAGGGACTGTGGCTCGCTTGGGGAACGGAAGCAGCTGGGGGTACGCGAAGGGGGTGAAATCAATACTCTGCGGTCTCCGCCCCCGAGAGTACGCGAACGAATACATGGGGAGGCAAACACGAGTGCCAACGGGACAACGTAATCGGCCTGTTCGAATTGCTCTTCCCGCTATCCCCGTCGCTTTCCATCTTTCTAATCGCTCGCGTTACCGTGCTTACAAACTGATTCCTTCCTGTTCCCCGTACCACCTAATCCCCGACTTAATCCGCTATATTCCGCATGGATGAAGCTTGCACGTTACAATTCAACATTGATACATTTCTATTTTAACGTTGCTTCTTGTAATCATGAAAATTGTACACTTCCTGTTTTATTTCCACTTCTCTAATATCGTTAGCACTAATTTTCTCCCAATACAACGAAACGTAGTTCCAGTAGGTTGAATTCTTAGTTACTTACTTTTGAAACGTTTGCTCGTAAAGCAACGTACGGCTCGTTGCTGAAAAGATAGTCGTAGGAAATAATGAAATCGTATTTCCGCGTAAAACGCAAAAGAGCGCTGCAAAACGCTATTAACGAGAAGAAAAGCTCCGCGCCGCGGAAAAGGTAATTGCCCGAGCTGCACGAATCAACGATAATTGTTCTTCCGTTCGTGTAGAGAACTGCACCGCGCGCGACGTATTCATATTTCGTTCCTCTGTTTGTAGCCGAATTTATATCACATTTTAATAATCACATTGCGTGCATTACATTCTAGTAATTATGTTGTGGATAACACAATTTAGATATGATGTACGCGCTGTAATAAATTTATTCGAGCCTCTGTCGCAAATTGGAAAAGTGTGGACGATTCCATGGTAGGTGATTAAAAGCGACGTCCCGAATTTGTTGCTTTCATTAACCGTTTTGCGCATATCAATTTGTATATAACGTTAAACACCTTTGTAACGTTGGCTTTCATCCATTTGTTCGCGCGTCGTTAATTATCTGCGAGTATACGTGGAACGCGGCTGCTGGGACGCGAGTCAAACGATTCCGTTGGTGAAATTAAAAGAAAGCTGAGGAAAAAGTGGGTATCGATTGGGTCACGGATGGTGCAGTTCGTATAAATCATCGTTATCAGGATAGAAATTATGCGGCGCAAAGTACATACGTTGCGTGACAAGACGAAGCGAGCTACAGCTATTAGCGAGGTATAGGCACACACGTGCTACGATTACATCCTACACGTGCACCGCTGCCTATAAACATGGAAAAGAGAGCAACTTTATCCATACTTTGTGAATATCGTTCATCCCCGTTCTATAGAACGATGTGAATCTCTCAGGTGTCTACTGTTTTCGAAACAAACCATTCTTTCCTCTCCTTTTCTCTTGTCAAGCAACGGGAAGAATTGAAAACGAGAATACATACATACATACATACATACATACATACATGCATACATTGCTGTTTTGTAAGTATGAAAGATGATTTTACAAAGAGATCTTCCTTGTAGACAACTGTCTTTCACCATACAATTCTTCGTAATATATCGTCCCTGTCTCTTTATTCATTTGTTTCAGTTATTGTCACAACATATCACAGAGCTTTTATACATAGAATAGAATCTTAAATTATAGCTAATTCATCGGGCACTAATGTGACAAATATTATTGCAATAGTTTGTGCGAGACATATCTTAATATTTACGCATGGCGAAAGTGCATGAACGGTATAAATTGCAATGCATGTGAAAACGAGCGGGGGATTGGATGAGCAAACCGAATGCCGATGAAATCACGAATGGCATCGATCGGCCGTGGCGGGACGTTCGTTGCGAATAAAACCGCAAAATCCCGTCGTTGATGGGGATTACGTGGGGATCGGGGCAAACCTCGTGATTAACCGTTCCGGTATACAGCGAATGTTCACGTTGCAGGACATGTCCGACGTTTGCGTCGGGACTAGCGTGGGAACCATCACCGAGCCAGAATGTTTGGGACCTTGCGAGCCCGGGACGTCGGTGACTCTCGAGGGCATCGTTTGGCACGAAACCGAAGGAGGTGAGTCTCTCTTTCCTGTTGGCCACCGGTCTAAATTTCGCGGCCTGCCGCCAACTATTTTACATGAATGATTGCTAAACAAGAAACCGATCACTCCTTTTCCCAAGTACGTCACAACATACTTGGGAAAAGCTTCGACCTTTAATCAAATTAAACATCCGTTTTCCGCTTTGATTAATCGAAATAGACTGTCTGTATAAATCGTTTGAAAATTTTTGGAAGTATCGAAGACGACAGAAATTATATTGAAAAGTAGGCTGATATATTTTATAATAATAGATTGATACATAAATCATTCGCATCGCAGGTGTGCTGGTGGTGAACGTAACGTGGCGAGGAAAAACGTACGTCGGTACTCTATTAGACTGCACTCGTCACGACTGGGCGCCACCGAGGTTTTGCGATTCCCCGACCAGCGATCTCGACGCCAGGACGCCGAAGGGACGTGGCAAGCGAGGAAGGGCGGCGGCGAACGCGACCCCGGGCAATGATCTGAGCAATTTCACGGAAACAAGGAGTTCGGTGCATAGTAAATTACGTAACGGTGGTGCAAAGGGACGACGCGGTGCACAAGGCTCGCCCGCAGCGAGTCCGAGTCCTGCCGCGTTTGTTCCACCTCGACCGGATCCAGCGGCGAAGCGAAAATCTCGGGGGCCGGAAGAGGAGGACAAGAACAAGAGAAGAGCTCCGCCGCCGACTCCGCCGAGCGGCTCGCCACCAGCGAGTCCTGTATTACTTGAATGCCCAGAACCGAACTGTAACAAAAAGTACAAACACATAAACGGGCTTAAGTATCACCAGAGTCACGCGCACGGATCGGCGGACGACGATGATACGAAGGAGGGTATTACAAGCATGTCCGAGAACGACGAGAGTAATATTGAAGTCCCGAGTCCTGCGACGCCGGTTAAATCGCCGGCAGACAAACCCGAAGGAACGCCGCTCAGGCCGGCTAGTCCTCCCGCGCCCGGTTTACCGCCGGAAACACCTCCACCACCGCCGCGTGTCGCCTCACCAAGCATAGAACCTCCCGCGCCCATTATTGCCGTAGACAACAAAAATATCGTGAAGCCGGGCGTGCTGAGATTCGGTCAGGATGATTTACCGGCGCCGCCGCCGACGATACCGACCTCCGCGAGGCAGCAATCCACGCAGCAGCAACAGCAACAGCAACAGTCGAATTCATCGAGTCAATTAAGTGGCTCGAATTCGCCGCAAAGCCCTAGTCCTCGAGCGAGCCAATCGCCGAGGTCCGTACCGTCGCCGCATCCTGGCGCGACCATCCCGGCGCCGTTGAATATCCCTCAACCGCCTCAACCGTCCCAGATGTCGCAGCACCAACAGAACTCTCTCCTGCAGCAGAGTCAGCAGGCGTTACAGGCCGGTCAACCGGCGCCGCCGCCTCCGCCGCAGCTTCAGTCAAGCCAGCAGATGCAGTCGTCTGTGCAGCAACAGCAGCAGCAACAATTGCCGGCGGCGCATCAAATGTCTGTACAGCATCCGCTGTCGGCACAGCTCGGCCAGCCGACGCAAGCACACGTGGTGCAACAAGGTGGAATGCAGCAGCAACAGCAACAGTCGCAGCCTAGCGCGTTACAAGGTATCGCTAGTCAACATCCCACTCTTCAAGGATTGGCTAGCCAGGTGTCGCAGCAAGCGACGAGTATGGGTCAAGCAGCGCCTCCCTCGCAGGGTCATCCTGGCCAAGTACAGACGCATTTACAATCGCCGTATCAGAGCGTATCGTTACACGCGAAGATGCCACAATTCAAGGTTAAACCAACCGCGGCGCTAATGCCCGAACAGGATAAAAATAAGGATTCCAGGGCGTCGTCGAAGCCTCAAGGATACAAGAAGAAGTCGAGAAAGTCTCCGGGCGGTAGTCCGCACCCTTCGCCGTTGGAAGCACCGATGGTCGATCCGGCGCGTGAGGATGTCCAAAGTCCAGCGTACTCGGATATTTCCGATGACACGGCGCCTGTGTTGGAAGCGGAACCGGCGGACAAATCGAAGCTGAGTCAGGAGAAAGACGGGAAAACACCCGCGACCGCGCACCTGCCCGCGCACTTTAGTATGTATCCGTACTACGGCCAGCCCCCTTATCTTGTTCCAAATGTGCCCGAGAGTAAACCGATCGATCAGAAACCGAGCGATTTGACCCCAAAGCAGGAAATCAAACCGCTGAATATACCGCAAATGCCGACGATGGCCAGTCTACAGAGTGTCGTCGCGGAGAAAGAAAAGAAGGAGTTGAGCCAGCCGGTGCCGCAGCCGCAACAGCAGCCTCATTATTACGGTGGTTACGGCGGCTACATGCCTCCTGGCTATCCTTATCAACCGCCGCAGCCTGTGTCGCAGCAGCAGCAACATCAGCAGCAGCAGCAACAGCAGCAGCAGCAGCAAGCGCAGGAGCAAGAGATGCATGAACAGAAGGCGAAGATCAAGCAGGAGCCACAATCACAGCAGCCTAGTTTGAAAGACAAGCAACACGAGAACCACCAAATATTGAAGGAGAGCATCGAGATGAAGAGTCAGATGAGCCCATATCACGTGTATCACAGCGGGCAGAGTCAAAGGGCAGCGCCGCCGCCTCCTCCACCTGGTCCGATGCAGGACGATCGAAGGTATTACCTGTATTCGACCGATCAGAGGCGAAAGGAGGAAGTGAGCAAGCAGAGTCAACAGACGAAGCCGCCGCCACCAAGTCCGAAGCATCAACCGAAACAGGAGAAGGCGCAGGACTTGGGGAAAAACGAAGACTCGAAGAACAAGCAAGAGGGCGTCAAGCCGACGATGGAGACGCAAGGCCCACCGCCGCCGCCTACCTCGCAATACGCTTACATTCATCCGGGGTACATGCAGCCGCAACACTACGGCGCGTTACCCTTCGACCCTGGACATCCCGTGTATCGAGGGCTTAGTCCGATGCTGGTGCCCGGACCTTACTCTGGTAATCCATACCTTCATCAATTGCCAAGGTATCACGCGCCAGAGGACCTGAGCAGGCCACCGGGTGGCAAGGCCCTCGATCTGCTCCAGCACCATGCCAATCAGTATTATTCGGCGCACAAGATACACGAACTTCAGGAGCGTGCGCTGAAATCGCCGACCCCGAAGACCTCCGCGGCTTCAGCTAGTCCATCGTCCGCGGGGCCAACGCCCTCCCGGCCACCGAGCGGGCCGCCTAGCTCGGTGGCCGGTCCCGGACCACCGCAACCTCAGACCCAGCAACCGCAGACGAAGCAACAGAGCCAACCGGGCGGTCAACAGTCACAGCAACAGCAACAACCGGTCGACGCCGGAAGTGGAACTCTGACGAAGGATAATAGATCGCCCCCGCCGCAGCGACACGTGCACACGCATCATCACACGCACGTCGGCCTAGGCTACCCCCTACTCACAGGACAATACCCCGCCCCTTACGGAGGTAAGCCTCTCGTCAGACCCTGACAATAAGTCGCGGTTCGAGCCGAACCGACCACTATCGCCGTCGCCGTTATCGTCTCGCGAATCGAATTAGTCTTCGAATTTCGATTCTCCTTCCATAGATAACCGATTACCCGGGAACGCGCATTCTTCTTTCGCCCGCGTGTTGTTGGCCTTCGGTGATCGTTTCGAGGTATGCGCGTTCCCGTAAGATCTATCCCACGTTTCCTGAACAAAGATTAGGTTCTCGAGCGATCCAACCGATTACTCAAGGGAGGAAAGACACTTAGAGAGTGTCGCGTCGATCGATCGAAACCTGATCGTTGAACGGTACACACCATATTGGTGCATATGCGCGGATACGAACGCGTTTTCAATTCAGTTCGTGAAGAAGAGTTCGTCTCGAGGTGATTTCCTGTGCCGTGTCGTTGACTACTTTCACTGTGAGACGCGTGAAACGTGTAAATAACGGAACTAAACGTCGCATCTGAACGGCGAGCGCTACTTGTTTCGCTGCAACTGAATGCATGTATTCGATATTGTCAGAGTAAAAAGTGTAACAACGTCGTCGAAGTCGCGAGACGCGTAGGATACACAATTACGGACGTATAGCTCAGACTGTGATATATCATTGACCGCGTTCGTCGTTACGAATGTGAGAAATTTACTGCCCACGATCGAAGCAATATCTCGATGCTTGGAGCGCGATAATTGTCTTTTCGTTTTAGGGCCTCCTTAGCTTAATTGTCCTAACGTTTCAAACGATTCAGGTCGATCGTACACCTAAAGAATGAACCTATACTTACCGTTCAGTATGTTCGACACTTAAGGAAGATGCTAGGATAATTTAGCTAAGAGAGGTACTGTTGCCAGTCGCTTCTTCTCCGATTTTTTCTAAGTCCGATCTTCGTTTGGATGAAAAAGAAGAATCAAGCGATGGACGAACGGACGGATAAAAAACGGTCCACTATTAATATATAGTGTCTCGTATTTTGTTTTTAACTTTTCTTATTATTTGTTTTATATAAAGTTTGACCAACATGAGCAGATCTTTAGCGCGATGACTAGATGAAGAAACGTTTAAAAGGAAGCGTGTCTTCCCTCTCTGGTGCGCTTTCTCCTTTCTGGCGTCCCTTTCCTGGCAAACAATTCTGTTTTCGTCTTGATCACATATTCCTCACTCGGCACACAAGAAATTGCATTACTTTACACGACACTTCTACCAGGTCGCGTTAGAACGATTCAATATAGCTACCACGTCTGCCGTATGTATTCCGGTATTTGACAAATCGTATGTTTAAGAAGTGATGCATTTTCTGCGACTACACACCGTACACGTCCCATGCTCCATTTCTCTTCGGTGATTGCCCACTCGTCGCTACGTTATACTTGGGCTGTGGAGTGATGCGAAATCGCTGAAACGAGCAGGGCGAAGGGGATGACATATCTCCCGATAAATCTTGATCGTCGTCCGGTCGAAAGGACGGGAAAAAGTATCGAGGAGAACGAGAAAGTGAGAGGGAGAGAACGAGGAATGGAGAGAATGAGGGATGATGAATGAAAACGAACGAAGAACGAAAATTGCAGAGGTACAATAAAGAGAACGTTCTTAAAACCGGCGGCGAGAGTGGATTCGATTCGGCACGGATTGGATGTTGTTAGAATTCGGACGATAATCACGAGGAACGGAATATTCGTTTTAAACACTGCTAGAAAAAAAAGAACAGACAAAAAAATAAACACGAAATATATTTCCGAGAGGAGATTAATGAAGTCCCCGGTATTGTGTGTGTGTGTTGCAGCGGCAATGCTGGCGAGTCAGCAGGCCGCCGCGGTAGCCGCATCGGTGATCTCGCCATTCCCGCCCAAGTGACCCGCGGCCCCCGGTCCCGTACTAGCTGCCGGAACGACCGGACCCGCATCCGCACAAACTCACCACACGTCTCATCATCCACCGCCAGTGAGCGGCGCGGCCGCCGCGGGACATCCGCACCCTGCCGCCGCTGGCAGGCAACCTTAGGATCGTCTCGGGAAACGAGATAACCGATTCAGATAATCCAAGTCTACTCTACCTCTGCTTCTACTTCGTTAAACGCGACGCACCAGATGAACGTTCGGTCCACCAGAGAGGGAAAGAGAGTCCGCTACCAGGCAACCTTTGAATCATCCGCGGGAGCAACCGATCATTAGTATTCGCTCCCAATTTTTCTTTGTTAACGCAACGCACTGAAAAGAGAGTCCAATTTGTATTTATCAGCTTACCAGCAGAACCCTGCCGTCTACCGTCATCGTCATCGTCGTCGTCCAAGAATCATTCGTTAACGCGCGATCACCGCATAAGGAAACACGTACGCCTTTCAACTTACCATTCCGGTTTCTGCTTTCGTTTCTGGGCCAGGGGAAGTCACACAAACGTGTCGAAGCTAATAAGAGAAGGACCGACTGGACAATTCGCTTACCGCGTGCATTTTATTCTATTATTAGTTTTCAGTTCGTCGACATATACGCACAATTTATGCTAAATTCTAATAAAATTCACGAAGGGATCTCGACGCAAAAAGATCACCAATTGAGTATCAAGAATCTTCCATTAACGAGTAAATAAAATTTTTCGCAAGTGTTTTGCACTAATTATTCCTTCCTTGATACAATCCTCGTCCACGAACTGTCGCGACTTCGGTCGATGAGAACGACAATGACGATGACGGCGACACACCCGCAACTATACGTAGGAATAGAATTAATATCCGAGGTGTTTGGACGCTTTTTCGTGCGCAATCTATGAACAATTGTACAGTACGACGATGGTTGTTGCGCTTAAAAAACGATTCGCGACGGTCCGATCCGTTGGATGGGTGACTCCAAGCTCGCGAAACGTTGTTCTCGGTATACTTATAACAAAACTCAAGTGTTTGCGAAAACAGTGAAAGAACGATTCTAAAGGGAAACCGCCGACGAACTACTGAACTTGAAATAAGGGAAGCGTGCGCGCTCTGTGAGATCTCGTTGCGTTAGACTGATAAACGGCCGCGAAAATCATTGATATCGCGCGTAATGAAATAAAATGAAATAGTAACAGTACGGCCGTGCCACGAACCAATTGCCCGATTTTTCTCCGATACAGAACAGAGCAATCGAGGCGAACATTTTTATTCCACCTAGTGTTAAACGTAGAGATGCAAATTGTGCGAATGGAAAAAAGAGAGGAAATGGGAAACGCGTGTGCGAGCGTTTGTTTTCCGTGGACTCGTTGTGTATAATGCGATTACCGAGTGTTCGGTCAGGAAAATGTGTATAGGGGAATGAACAAATTATAAATCGTTGTATTTTATTGTAAAAAGATGAAATGAGAGGGAGAGCGAATGTCTGTGAGAGTACGAGCGCGAGAGCGAACGAGCGAGAGAGAGAGAGAGAGAGAGAGAGAAAGAGTGAGAGGAAGGTTGCTGCTAACCAGAGATATTGACATTTTTCTAGAGAAAAATTTTGCGTGACTCGCGGAACGATACGTTTCTTAGGACAATTCGATATTAACTCTACCATTTTAAAATAAAGTTTAAGACCGAACGGAGCTGGCTTATGATATCAAACAAACACGAAGGAGATTTTCAAGACCGTAAGCGTAAAATAAAAAGAAATCATAATAATTCTAAATAATGATAATGCGATCGTAAGTGAAATGTACATTGAATACGCTAGAATAATATTTGTTTACTAAAAATTAATGGTAGTAGCGTTGCGCAAAATTAAGTAGATAAACGAGTGCGTGTGCCTGTGCGTATATACCTGTTGTGCGTCCAGGATGGAGAGAACGAGAGAGAGAGAGAGACAGAGAGTACGCGAGAGAGCGAGAGGGATGTGAAGTGTGAAGTAATTAAGGAAGGAGACGACAGGACGGATAAAACTAATTAACGAGAAAGGGAGAAGGCTATTAGGTATATACATATATTATAAAAATATACATATATGCGCCACGGTGATACATACGCGCATCGTATCCTGGCGGCTACCTAACGTTAGTTCAGTGACGATTATCATTGTATCTTTTATTACGATTATTCATTAAGTAATTATCGGTTCCATTATTTTATTATTGTATCGTCGATGAGAGGGGCGAAAAGTGGCGAGTGTTGTAATCAGGAACGATTGGTAAAACGCATTGCCAAGAATCCGAAAAATCTATTAAATAAAAAATAGTTTTATCGTGCCGTGCGTAGTGTTGCAAATGCCAAATAAAAAGAAACAGATCAAGGCGTGGTTTTTTAATTCGAAACACAAAACAACGGCGATATTCGTTTAGTAGAGTGAATGAAAGAAGAGAACTGGGGGGGAATGTATGTGCGCGTGTATGAGAGAAAGGGAGAGTGAAAATGAGGGAGGAATGCGCGGGGGATCGTCGTCTCAGTTTTAATGAGGCGCGTTCGAAGGAGAATCGGGCGGGCTTTAAGAGAAACAAAAAGTAAAAATGCTGGTGCTGTGCTGTGATTTTTATAAAAAATAAAAAGAAAAAACAGTGGGAGAGAAAGAGAGAACAGACGAGGCGGGAAATCTGAATTAAGAAAGAGAATGAAGCCGAAGATCTTGATGAAAATTTTTGTGAAAATATACAGATAGCCTAAGTACCTGGACCAGCCCTGCGCTCTCCACTAAATGAGTAAATACGAGTAGAGAATATTACAGGAAAAAAAAGAGAAGAACGAAAGGACTAAAAAATGAGAAAAGCGAGAAACATGATTGAAAAAAGGAATCGAACGAACGAACAAAGGGAGTGGGAAACGAACACGTACGGATTGTATAGGCTGTAAAGTGTATTTGCTTTTAAAAAAAAGAGAAAAAAAAACGAAAAATTTAATATAAGTCTTTAATCGCTGACTGCGCGAGGAAAAGAAACGAGCTGTCTCCAATCGTCAAGTAACATACGTTCGTATATCGCAATTTCCCATTTTCGTAAGGATCACCCTCTTGTAACCATTGTCTCGTTGTCTATTTGAATCATAGCAGCGCAAGAAAGGAACCCTCTTTTGCAGCCAATAAATTTACCATTGTATCACGAGAAACGATAACGTTTTAATCCAGACGCTTCCCCCTTTTTATTTCAACGATCCTTTAACGACATCTCGATTATCGCTTATCGATTAGACTTCCTATTCTGTCCTCTTTTTTTTTTTAATAAATCAGAAACGAATGTAATTAGCAATTGGAGACAATCTCTGACTAAGGATATATTCTAGCGAGTACTAAGTATTTGCCACGATGTTGCATAATCCATTGCGAGAATCCTGAGTAAAATTTAAAGACACAAAGAAACGACAACATAAAAGATGGACTGAGATACAAAGTAACATAATTAAACAAGGACCCGTATTCTCGTCTCCTTTTTTTTAGACTTATAAAAATAGTGAGTCGTTACGCTTTATATATTATACACTTCGAATATAATGAATATACGAGTAACAGTACGTACTGAAGCAAATACAGAAAACGCAGGCATCTTGTCGTTAAATTGTAAGATATTGTGTTCAAACTCCAGAATGTACTCTGAACCCCTTCCTCAGACTACTATATATTAAATATATTGTGCACTATGCTCCAACTTGTCCATACGAATAAATATATTGAAAAATCTTACGAAATAGCATTCTAAATCTCACTAAATAGCATCGTTATCGTTATCCTCCGACGTGCCATATATTTTTAAAAGCAGTCCTCTCTGCGCCGACCTCCCGACTTTTTTCATTTGCAATCTGAGTTATTAAATTCTTATCGAAGTTCATTTACAATTTGACATATAAATGTTATATAGCGAAGTTATAAAAAGAATCAATGCAACACGCGGCAAGATTTTTAGGACACTATAATACATTCTTTTAAACAGGATGTTTTCCGCCTCGTACAAATACGTTACTCTTATTTTCATACTGCCTGCTATAAATGATAACAAAAATTTATTAAAAGTGCACAATTAAAAAAGAAAATACGCGTAAGTAAATACTACAACACCTTCCGTGAGGTTGATGGCACATGACATCGAAGCGTCATATGCGTAGAAGAAGTTAGGTTCTACTTACGGTATTCTTATCACTGATTATGAGTTACGAGGGTTCAAGGATGTATTGCCTATACAGTCAATCCCAAAAGTTTATGCACTTTAGAAACGCATTTTTTAAAAAGAAATCAGACGTCGGAAGAACATTGCTCATAAGAAACAACAAAAAAAAATTTTCGATTTTTCCGAGATTTTTCCAAGGGGTACCCCTTCAAAATTTGCGAAATTTTCGTTTTTTGCCAATAACTCCCAAACGGATGGATCTACGGGAAAATTGCATCAGACCATTCTTGTAGAGGACGACGAGATCTACAATTTCCATGTAAAAATTTGTTGATAGCTTCAATAGTTTACGAGTAATTTGCAAAAAACTGTTTTTTCGTTTTTCATCAATAACTCGTTAAATATTCATGCTAGCGAAGAAATTTTATATGGAAATTATAGATCTCGCCGTCCTCTACAAGAAAGGTCCTATGCAATTTTCCTGTAAGTCGAACGGTTTAGGAGTTATTGAGGAAAAACGAAATTTTTTTCCAAAAGTTCGCCGTTTCGACGCTGGAATGGTCGGATTTCGTC